CATCTCTTCTATTAGAGTTGTCTTCTATTTTCACTTAGAAAGCTCTTCCAAGAAATAGAAGGGGATTGTGGCCATAAATCCAGTGTTTCTGGACCTGTGGCAGCCTGGCCAAAGTGAGAAGTGATGTCCAAACCAGTTGACCTATATACATGCAGATTAATTGCATGATATAAGCACAGCACATCCAGTATGGCCAAACTATTGCAGTCACTACACTATGCACAACATATTCCAGGTATGTTGAATACTTTGCACCCAGTTTGACCCCTCAGCCCACATGCTGGTACTTCCATCTAAGTTTTCTGGGGCAAGTAGACACGTTCAGATGTTACGTTTCTCCAAACACCTCTGAATAGTGTTTCATGATCAAACTGTGATAGTAGTCCAGCACTCATAGCCTTCTTTCCTCATTTCCTGCTAGCCATTTTTTTTAACCTTAAAACTGTCTCCTTTCTGCTGTTAGCCCATCTCAACTACCACTACAATCAAAAGACTCTTTGCGGGTTGGGTCTTTGCAGATCTCTGGTCAGGTTTTCTTACTGTGGTGTTAATTAATCCTTTACCCTTCTGGGTTGCAGCACTCATAGATCGACCAATAGCAGACACTGCCAGATCTGCTGGGTGCTTTGAAGCAATGAAGGAAAGAATTCAGCTGAGCTAAGACCTGCAATTTGCAAGGAGAGAATGATTGTTCTGTTTTGGAGAAAGAGCCAGGGAACTAACAGGTAGCCACAGGGAGACATGCATATATTGATGGGGTATATAGGGCTGGACAGGAAGAAACTTTCTTCTACAACATGACAATTTGGATCCCAATTGGATCCTGTATTTTTCTTTGTCAAATGCAAACTGCCCCTGGACTGACGTATTTTTGAGTTGAATTAATAACAAAAAATAGATTTTGCCTTTTTTTATGACAGTGTGCTATACCAAATCCAAACCGTTCACTGCACTTTAATTCTGTGTGCTGAGGAATAATGCAGAATAAAGCTGTACTGCATGCAGCTTTCAGCAGTACCATGGGCCATAAAATCTAATTTTAGGCATTAAAATTGATTATTTCAACTTCAATAGTTCCTCCACTCTTCTGTTTTATCTCCCTTTTCTGCTTTGATTACAAGTTGCTTGTCTGAGTGGAACATTTTGGTGGCAGGTGTGTATTTTATATGCATGTTTCTTGGGGGACAGACAGAGTGGGTTATTCCAGAATGCTGCCATAGCCTATTGGTTGGAAGGGAAAATTTAGAAAACCTAACGCAGGGGGAAAAATTAGGAATTCTGAACATGCACACTCAGCACATGGATTAAATCTTTCCTCAATTGCCTTCTCTTCCTTCATGTCCTGGTTAGCTGTATCCGGATTTATTTCTCTTGAAAGATGAGTGCATCCAGAAGATGCACATAGTAAATAAAAACTGTGGCCTTTAATCTTGCTGTGTGATCTTTGAATGGTGAGAATGTGCTGTAACATTTCTGCACTGTAACAGAAAAATCAATTTGGCAATAGTTGTTGCTGATTCTTAATTCTCAGGGAATATTTGCTATAGTTGTTTTGAAGAAATACTTCTTATTTTATGACCAAAATACTAGCTTCCAATATTTTTTTTCATTTACTGAAACAGTTAACAACAACAATCTAAAACATGTAATGTGTTCTGCTTTCAAACTTGCTCCTGTGAAAGATTTTGTTTTATTGTTTTATTTAAGTTTGGGTTTCTCTTTGGTTTAAGAAACATATTGATTAATCAAGTTCTAAGGCATGGATTTGTTGTTCTGTAATGCTATTAAATTAATTGCACACAGTATCTTTGGCTATACTCTTGTGTTCACTTCCGCAATTAAGAAATGCTGTTCAAAAAGTAAATGCCGTGAAAGATACTGAGAGTATCTTCTGCGAAGAATATCATAACCATGGTTTATTTCATGTATAAATACTGGGTGGTGGTCACAGATTTCCTCTGTACTGGTAGAGACCATACTTTAGCAACTTTTCCTAGCTGTGTGCCCCATCAGATCTTCATTTTCATAAAGGCAAGAAAGCTATTTTAAATTATTCTTTGTGACTGCTTGTGCAGAGTATGTGTCAGTGATGAAGTGATCTCTTTCTTCTAGCCAAGTACAGTGCTGGCCTCAGATTTTGCTGCATAAGCAGGCTGTACTGTGCCTTTCAGCAGTACTGCTCAGCTGTGTTCAGGGTCATGGAATGGGGAATGGATACAACTCTACACAGTTCTTCCCTGATAGACCTGATGGTTGCATTAGACTCTAATTAAGGCAAATTTTCCATTAAGCATTTTATAGAGGTCTTTACCATTTTCATCCAAGAAGCCATTATAAAAAATCTATGCCCTTAGGAAGACACCAATTTTTTGTTTTCATCTCACCTGTGTCATTGTAGCCAGGTGCAATGCAGAACTGAGCATAATTTCATTTAAACAACAAGAGTTAGGGTATCATAATCATCTCATATGGGTAAGGAACCACAGAGCCATTCATTGCTAAGAACTGCCCCTCTGCCAGGCCAGAATTTAACAGAGTGAATGTATGAAGTGAGCAGCCACTGCTCCCTCTGGACACATAAAGAGCCAGTGTGGGGAAAGCTCCTTCACTACAGTGTCACCTCTGATATCTCCCTGTTGCTTTATTCAATTCCTCCCTAGTAAAGAGCAGGAGAACATTTTGTGTGACTGTGTTGTGGTGGAGAGGCAGTACTGAACCTGGCCTCAATTCATATTGAGAAAAGGGTGGCTTGTCAAGGGACAACAGCTTCCTCTCCACCTCCCTTTCCTGTCTATAGAAAAAATTAGGAGTACCATGAGCGGTATTGCAAGAGAAGCCCTTATAGCACAGGTAAGTTCCAAAAGATAGGACTTGGTACTTGAACACTTGACTTTCCAAACTGAGTGCAGGTGCAACCTCTCTTTGAGTTCTCCATTTAGTTCTGGGCCCCACAACGTAAGGAGGATGTGAAGGTTCTTGAATGCATCCAAAAACATACCTCAACACTGGTGAAAGGGCTGGAAGGCTTGTCCTGTGAGGAGAGGCTTTGGGCTTGTCTGGTTTGGAGCAAAGGAGACTGAGAGGAAACATCATCCCTTTCTCATGCTTCCCAAGGAGGGCAAGAGGATAGAGAACTGCTGATCTCTTCCCCTTGGGACTAAAGTGGTGTGTGGGAATGGTTCAGAGATGTACCAGAGGAGGTTTAGACTGGACATGCAGAAGCATTTCTTTACTAAGCAGGCATTCAAACACAAACAGGCTTCCTAGAGAGGTGGTCAATGTCCAAGCTTGTTTAAGAGGCATTTGTAGAATGCCTTTAACAACATGGTTTAATTTCTGCTCAGCCCTGAATTGGTCAAGCAGTTGGACTTGGATGATCATTCTACAGTCCTTACAAATGAAATAGCCTATTCAAATTTTTGTTTCTGATACATTTGATTTTGTGTTTCAGTCAAGGAAATATTTAGCCTCCAAAGCAGTTTTTCAACCTGATACTGTGCAATGTCAGAGGTTCACTTCTCTAGTGATAATTTCACTGGTGAGGTGACAAAATTGTTTCTGCCAGAGGATGCACTCAGGTATAGTCCAAATTACTACAGTGTTTCCAGAAAGCACAGTCTGATTTTTTTCCATCTGCACTTACCTGGCAAAAGGAGTTGTTTTTATCCCATGTGCAAACACTGTCAAGGTGATCCACACTTTTCTTTAAATTGTGTTGCGTGTGGGCTTGGGGTGAGTCCAAATAGAGGCTGATGTAAATGTATTGGCACATTTCTCCAGTGGGTTCTGAAACCAGGCTTGGTCTGCACTACCTATGGTTTCTTTTCCTGCATTACCAGTTTTCATCTTCAGACACTCATTCTTAATATGTACCTCATTTCATTTTATAAACCTTGCCCTATCTCCTTTACCCTGCCTGTCCTGATGGAAGAAATCGATGGATGATTATAAGGTAGCTCTGAATAAAAGTATAGTTTTTCCTTCCCTTGTGTTGCCTGACACTGCAGGAGAATGCTAGAGGGGACTGGCTGCCCGAGCTTTTGCTTTGCCTTTGCCTTAGAGTCGATATGGTCTCTTGCCATCTCCTGTTAAAACTTTCATCTGTAAAGTCGAGAGAAGCGATCAGCTTATTTAAGCTTTACCAGGCTTTAAAACATCACTTTTGAAAGCTCTGTGGCTACCAGTTTTTGGTAACTTCTCAAGACAATTCCCTCAGCTAGAATCCGGTTCTCCCGGCTTTTCTTAGCAGCGGTCCCCGTCTCTTTGCCGTTCGCAGCCCGAGAAGGCGCTCCTCGGATAAGCCGAGGAAGCAGGGGGGCAGTGGGAGGGATGCTGCCGGCAGGCTCGATAGATGCTTTTTCCCGGGAGGCCGTATATTTTTGGAGAGTAGGAGAAGCGGTACTCCCTTCTTGGGAATGTGCGGACCTGCACTGATAATCCCCGCTCCGGGAGACCTGGGGCTTCCCACGGCTCTTCCACATTATTTTCGGGCCGGTGGCGCTCGGCTGCGGAGCTGCGGGCGCCGCGCGGCTTTCCCCGGCACGGAAAGCACCTCGGTGCCCGCTCCGGCTGCCCGTGCTCCTGCACCCGAGCGGGGTCGGGAGGGCTTGCGGACAGCGGGAAAGCTTCCCATCCCCGCTGAGCCGGGCGTGCTTCGGGGGACGCCGCGGGACGAACCTGGAAACGCGGGGGGCGGGGGCGGCCGGATGGGGGACACCGAGAGCGGCGACGCAGACACACCGGGGATGGCGTGGGGACACACCGGGGGCGGGGAGGGGACGCGGATAGGAGGGGAGACACGCTGGGGGCGGCGCGGGGGGGACACGTCGGGGGCGGTGGGCGCCCTGCCCGGA